TTCATTCATTTATCTTTAAGTCTATAAAGGTGTTTCCCCCTAAAGGCAGATACTGAATATTTTATTTAAATCTTGTAGTTTCCACAGAGACAGACCTTTTAACCCTTCATTCTCCAGCTCAGCCCGAGTCCCCCGCGCCAGGCGATCCTCTGCGCCAGGGCTGGGACTGTATTAAGTCTCCTTCTTCGAGCTGTTTGTTGACCACATTCACGTTCAGAGCCCTGGAGCTAAAAGCACTTTACACCATAAAATAAAAGCACTGTCTTTTTTTTCTAAAAGGTTACGTCTGGAGGCCACGCGGCTCATACTTCATACCGAAAACTACTGAAAGGACTATGAAATCCTCTATGATTTACACTCTCTCACTGCATTAGGGTATAGATCTACTCGACTCTAAAAATACGGTGGGTTTCTAACCGACGTGAATATATGTGCATTATTTCAGAAAGTCTGTTAGAAAACTTGTCAACACATTATAAAGCATAAACCAGGGCTTGGCTATTAAGTACGGAGATCAGAGGCAGAATATATAGTGCAGGAAGTCCTGGGGAGTCTCCTCCGCGGGCGAGATAAAAAGGGGGAGGAAGGGTGGGGAGGGGTCGTCTGTTGGCCTGGAGTTTACACGCATTGTCGTCACCAAGGGTTTGGGAAAGAGACCACGGAGCGTCATTACCCTCGCGATGGAAGCAGGAAAGGTTCTACAGCTTCAAGCTAAGTTAACCAAATGGCCAAAAAATAATTTTAACGTTGTCATAATTTATTACTTTCTAAAAGCCACTTCTGGAAAGGTAAATATACTTATTGTGTATCCAAGTGTGTGCGCTTAAAGTGACCTTTCGCCCCCTCGACAAAACCACCTGCATCATTAATCAATACTTATGTAATATTTTTAAATCTCTTAAAGCAACACATTTTTATTTCTTTAAACACACAAACAAACCCTCCCCCTCCCCCACTTTGGGGCGCATTTGCGAGCAACCAGCAGCGAGGAGGGAGGGGGTCACCGGTAGGGGAGAGCAAACGGGAACGGGGCGGGGGGTCGGCGACAAGGAGGGATTAAATGCCCATACACAGCCCTGGGTTTCTGGACTGGGTGAAATCTGGCTGGGGGAGGGGCGGGAGCGGAGGGCAGTTCCCACTTCACCCGGGGCATTTTATGATGGTGAAATTAAATATATGTTAATGGGGGAAACGTCGCTGCATAACTCTCCATTGGCACTCAGGGAAAGCAGCTGCAAAACTGGCTTTTTAACGTATGTTTTAAGATGTGGTTTCGGAAGGAACCCCCCCTGGAATCTGAAACAAGTGCAGTAACATAGCAGACCTACTTGTAACTAAGTGCTTAATTTCCTATGATTTTTAAAAAAGAAAATCAATAAAATGTTGCCAGTTATTTATTGGAAATAACCACAGATAGCGGCCCTGATAGGGTACCGGCTTTAGAGAGCACACAATTGTGTAATGAATTGTAATTCAGAAGACTGTTAAATGTGAACCACAGAACCTTTCAGAGGTAATAAAGTCATTACTTTTTACAGTACAGCCAACCCTGAAAAGCTTTATACACACCATTATATATAAATCATACACACACATATATATTTCCACAACACATATTCTCCCATTTATATATTTTCTCTCTACATGGACTTTTATGGATGGATGGTAACACTATTCAAATCTGGCAGGCTCGGTTCCGAAAGAGTCTGGCTCACTGTGGGTACCTGAAGGCGCTTTTGTTTTATTTCTTTATTTTTCAAAGGCCTCCCAGGTGCACGTTCTCCTTCACTCTCCTCACCTTTCCTGCAACTGTCCTCCTCGCCGTCCCGCCTCCCTTCTCCCCCGCGATGACATTCATTTGGTGGCTACAGGTTGGTTTAACAAGACAAAAACAGACAGTAGTGGAAGAGACATGCTGACCTGCTCTGAAGAGCTCAATGAAAAGGGGAAATGGTGTCACGTACACGCTACGGAGCTTCCCTGCAAGTGAATCTGCCTGCTTCTGAGGCAGAATTTGAGGTTCTCCCCCGCCCCTTGAACTGGAGGGAAACAGCACCACCAACAAACCGCATTTCCACAAACCCAGTCCAGCCCATATCTCTCCTAATGTTCAGCACCCAAACCTCCTTTTCTTAGAGGGGCCCGAAGCTTCTCCGAGCTAGGCAAGCCAGTCATTTTCTAACAGGGTTGAAACTTTACTAAGACGACACAGGAATAAACAGACGCTTGCAGGCGAGGCTGGGAGGTGGGTGAGCGCGTGCAAGCCCCGGGCCCTCGCTGTCAGCAGTTAAAGCCCCCCGCCGGGTTGGTGAATTTAAGGAAACGGTACCCCTTAGACTGAAGAGGGGGACGAGAAGATGCGAGGGGTGTGGAGCCGCTTGGAGAAGAGGGAAGGAAGGCTGCTCGCTCTGCAGACACACACTCACACACGTCCACCTGCAGCTCCGGTCTCGCGGGCCGTGGCCACCCGTTTCCACCCTGTACCCTCCGCGCCTCCCTTGGACTTGAGTCCCTTTTCCTCTGCCCCCGGCCCTTCCCGATTTGGAATCGGAGCGCGATCTCCCCGGCGGCGGCGGCGGCGGCGGCGGCTGCAGGGTGGTGCAGGCAGACAGGGAGGCTGGGAGGCGGGAGACGCCGGGGGACTTTGCAAGCACGTTTCTGAATAAACTTTCCAATCGCAGGGGGTGCTGTTGCTGTACATTTTACGTAAAACTGAAAGTATCCCACGCCAGAGTGAAGCCCGCTTTTTGACAGCGGCAGCGCGCGTGTGTGTGCGTGTGTGCATTAAAGAGACAGGGGTTTATTTCCAACAGGTCCTCCCAAATTTCCAGGGACAGTCGCAGAAAGGCTAGAGGGGGCTCCGGGCTCCGGGGTGTGCACCTTGACCCGTGGCGCCCCGGGAGCGCGGCACTGACCCGGGTCGGTCAACTCACTATCGTGGCCTCCCCGCTGCTCCGGCGTCAGTCGCTCTCTCTCCATTCCCCATTTTCTCTTTCCCCGGGTAACAGCACAGGAACAGTTGTGCTCTGCCCCTAAGAAACATTTTCTTTCCATCTCTCTGTGCTTTTGCAGTTTCTCTGGAGTGGGAGGGGGGTGTGTCCCTCCCTGGGACCTGGCTCGGGGACCTCCCGCGGCGCCGGGAGCACGTTCCCAGGGACTAGGACTCCCAGGACTGTCCGCGCTTTGTCCTGCGGCCCTCGGCCAGTCGGAGAGGTGGACGCCTCGGCGCCTCCCTCGCCCCGGTCCCCGGCGCTCCCCTCCCGGGGCCGGAACGCGCTCGGACTCTAGCTCTTCGATTTTTATTCCTCAGCCTCTCTTTCCGCGACCCTTGGGAGCCGGGGGCTCGGTGCTGCCAGTTCCATTCAGACCCAGTCGCTTGTCGGGGCGCTCAGATCTCCGGTCCCTGGCTCGGCCTCGGGGTCGCCCTCCCGGCCCTCGGGCCCGGCCTGCGCCACCTCTCTCTCCCCAGCCCCCTTCCTACAGGCCGCCCGAGCTCCGAGAGGCCCCGGAGCTGCCCTCCGGACCCGCCACCCTCCAAACTTGGGCTGGATTCCGCTTCGCCGCGCACTCCCTCCCGCCTCCCCTCGCCCGCTGCGGAGCTGTAACTTGGAGGCTCAGCTCTCAACTTCGGGTGATTTTTCTTTGCTATTCTCTCCTCCGGCAAAGTTTCCCGAGCGCAGCCGCGGGCTCGGGGCTTTCACTTCGGCCCCGGGCGTCCGCATGCGGGGAGCAAGCGCGGCGGCGGCGGGGAGGGGAAGTGGGTGTGCGCACGGAGGAGGGTGTCCGGGAGCAACTCTACCTGGCTTCCCTCCGCCCGCGCTTCCCCAGCCCCGGGCTGCAGCCTCCTCCTGCACTCTTTTTTTTTTTTTTTTTTTTTTTTTA